TACATATCTCATCTATCAATCCATCAACTTTTTTGTTTGTTTGTTTGTTTTAACAAGATAGTGACAACCTTCAATCATTTGAGTCCCTTAGATAAGAATCTATTTTCATCCAATTAATTATCAAATCTACTATCATCCATATTATCAAAGCAAACTTATCATCTTATTAAAATCACATTCCATTAATTATTGATTCAGTCCCGATCTAAAACATCTCTTCATTTTTTTTCATTCCATTATATAATACTTTTCATACATTAATCACCCATTTTTTTCTTATTTCCATTCAAAAACCCAATCCTTCACTCAGTCCATAGTTCTGTGTGTTTTAAAGGAGCTGTAAAAAGGCAGTTTGCTTGAAGGAAGGATCCCATTGTCGAAGGTGATTTCTGAAAGAAAAATATATTATTGGCCAGCCAAACGGAGAGGAAACTGGGAGGATAAATAGATGTGAGAGGGAGAAAGAAAAAAAGAAAGAAAGAAAGAAAGAGAGAGAGAGAGAGAGAGAGAGAGAGAGAGAGAGAGAGACAGAGACAGAGACAGAGACAGAGACAGAGACAGAGACAGAGAAAGAAAGAAAGAAAGAAAGAAAGAAAGAAAGAAAGAAAGAAAGAAAGAAAGAACCATAATATGAAATGTGAGTCTGAAAGAATCATTGTTATTAAGTGAATCAATTGACAATTGCAAAATCCCCCAGTCTCTGCTCTTAATACTTTTTCTCCTGTTTATGACGGATTCCCCCTCTGCTTCCTCTCACTGTGTCTCTCTGAAGCCACAGAAGTAGACAGCAGAGTCCCCCAGCTGGATGGCTGTTTTCTGCATGCTGAAAGTCCCTTTTTTGTCATTTTTATGATGAGTTGCCTGGAAACCTTGTGCGTTGTTGTCAATTTCATCCAACAAGATCTCTAGAGGCTGACCAGGATGCTGAATGTACCAGAATGGGAAATTTCCACTAAATTGTCCTTCATAGGAACAATTGAGAGAAACAAGTTGTTCTTCAGTAACAGTCAGAATTCCAGATGTTTGCTTCACCGACTGTCCTGTGCTTCCTCCTGGACAGAAAATAATAGCAAATTCATGAGTTTAATTAGAGAGATGGACAAGTAGGTCCCCCTCCCTCTTTTCAGAAACAATCTTGCTGCTGTTTGGACTTATTTTCTTGCTATCGTGAGGATTACCATGGACAAATTCCTTCCTTGTTTTATATTCTTTCAACCACCATCAAACACACTGAACACACACACACACACACACACACACACACAAGCTTCATTACAGCTGAATACTTCTGTTTGATTCTTTATATTCTTTGCAGAAAATCTACTGACGATTACACAGATATTTTTTTCCAGGGGATTCTATTCTACTTGATTTCAAGGAACCTAAACAAGTCAAGATATGCTCAGCCAAAACCTATAGTCTAATATTGTGAACACATAAATACTTACTTAAAAGTGAGATAATGATGATGATGAACACAAAGCACAGCCACATTTTTTCCTGAAGAAGAATGGGAGAACTACCCTCAAAAAAATTCTTTGGAGGATTCCAAAGGTGGTGTAGTCAGCCTTCACAGCTTCCCTGCCAGCTTTGGTCTAAAAGCGACTTAGGGACTATACAGCTCTTTGCCTTCTCAAAGAAATTGGCTTCTAATATGTAAATTTGGTGGCAAGAGGAAGACAAACCACAGGTTATGTTTCACTGAGCATATGTGCAACAGAAGAGATCGTGTATTTCATCTGGTAAGACTCATGTTATCTCAAGATTGCCACCGTGTGTTTTAAAGTAGGTATAAGAAAGTAACTCTTTTAAAGAAAGGATCCCAGTGTGGAAGGTGATTTCCAAAAGAAACAGAAATTAACCAGGTGGAAGAACAGAGAACTGAGATAGGAGGGGGGGGAGGGTAATATAAAATGTGAGTTCGAAAGAATCATTTTAGAGTCTGAAGTGATTAATATGTAAAGATGAACCCTGTTGTTCAAAGTGCTTTTGGATGGACAACTCACAATACCATCACCTAAATGATATGAAAGCATTCTTTGCCATGATTATGGAGACCAGTGCATCCAGATGTTTAGGTAACATTTGCTCTTATCCCAGCCCAGATGGTCATTCTTCTTAGTATCAGATGCCGAGGAACCTCTAGCCCAAGATATTCTGAAAGATTATCTGACTTTCTACATCTCAGTTCCATCCTGTGTTTTAAAGTAAGTGTGAGAAGGCAGCTGGTTATTATTAAATGATTAATATGTAAAGATGAACCCTAATGTTCAAAGTGCTTTCGGATGGACAACTCACAATACCATCACCTAAATCAGTGATGGCGAACCTTTTAGAGACCGAGTGCCCAAACCGCAACCCAAAACCCATTTATTTATCGCAAAGTGCCAGGGACCCATCAGCATTGTGGTGCCCTCGGGGGAGGGGGCACACAAAAACCAGGGGCGCAAAAATGGGCCAGCGTGCTGCAATGCGCAAAAACAGCTCCTGCTGCGCTGCGGGGTGCAGATACAAGGCGCTGCACCAAGCAAGAATGGGGCAGGGCTAGTGAGTATCATGCAGGCACTAGCCCCGCCTCATTTGCAGTGCGTGCCTACTCGCGGCCCCGTGCGTGCACACGCACATGTAAAATACTTCCCCCTCCCTTTTCTTCCAGGTGCCATTCGACAATGGTTGGTGACCTCTGCTCTACCACTTCTACTCGAGCTTGCTAGTCAGCCACTTCCTTTGTGCTGGGCAGGGCTCCTGCTCCGGGCAGAGGTGGCGGCCTGATGGACCTGCTGCTGGCGGCAGCATGTGTGCCAACAGAGAGGGCTCTGAGTGACGCCTCTGGCACACGTGCCATAGGTTCGCCACCACTGACCTAAATGATATGAAAGCATTCTTTGCTATGAATATGGAGACCAGTGCATCCAGATGTTTAGGTAACATTTGCTCTTATCCCAGCCCAGATGGTCATTCTTCTTGGTATCAGATGCCAAGGAACCTCTAGCCCAAGATATTCTGAAAGATTATCTGACTTTCTACATCTCAGTTCCACCCTGTATTTTAAAGTAAGTGTGAGAAGGCAGCTGGTTTGAAGGAAGGATCCCAGTGCGGAAGAGAAGGAACCCTTCCTATTTTCTTCCAGAGTAAAGACCAGGAAGGAGAAATGAACTTTCAGATTTGAAGATTCTGTAATCTTACAATAATGTAGAATATAAGTTCATCCAGGTGTACTTCTTGTCTGGTCCACCTTGCAAGGCAGTAGCCAAAAGGAAGTGAAAAAATAAGAGACTTTCCTAAGAATTCTGCTTCTGAAAAAATAGGGATAAATGTTCATGTTCGTACTTAATCTAATCCTGCTTTTTTCATCTAAGGAACGAGAACCTAGCTGTTAATCCATCAAATAATAGTAATTTCAATAATTATAATTCAGGATCTGGGAAAATTATGGCACAACCAATCTATGGTACTCCAGGTGTTTACCAAGACATTTGACTTAGTAAATAAACTTTGTTGGCACTTAGAAAATTTACTGACAAAAGTTCCATAGGATGCCAATACAATAAAACAGTTTAGGTTCTTTTTGGAAAATGAACACGAATGCCAGCTGAAAAGCTAGAAGCTGTGGTTTGATATTCTTTCATAATAGTAGCTGGTTTGAAGGAAGGATCCCAGTGCTGAAGGGAAGGAACCCTTCCTAATTTCTTGCAGAATAAAGACCAGGAAGGAGAAATGAACTTTCAGACTCGAAGGTTCTGTACTCTTACAATAAAGTAGAATATAAGTTCATCCAGGTGCACTTCTTGTCTGGTCTACCTTGCAAGCAGTAGACAAAAGGTAGAGAGAAAACAAGAGAATTCTCTAAGCATTTTCCTGCTGAAAAAAGAGTAGGAAATTCTCATATTTCTTCTTAAGCTGATAATAATAATAATAATAATAATAATAATAATAATAATAATAACAACAACAACAACAACAACAACAACAACAACAATAACAATAATAATAATAAAAAAGTTGGAAGGGACCTTGGAGGTCATCCAGTCCAACCCCCTGCTCAGGCAGGAAACCCTATACCATTTCAGACAAATGGCTGTCCAGTCTCTTCTTAAAAACTTCCAGTGTTGGAGCATTCACCACTTCTGGAGGCAGGTTGTTCCACTGGTTAATTGTTCTAACTGTCAGGAAGTTTCTCCTTAGTTCTAGGTTGCTTTTCTCCTTGATTAGTTTCCATCCATTGCTTCTTGTCCTGCCTTCAGGCGCCTTGGAGAATAGCTTGACTCCCTCTTCTTTGTGGCAGCCCCTGAGATATTGGAACACTGCTATCATGTCCCCCCTCGTCCTTCTCTTCATTAAACTAGGCATACCCAATTCCAGCAGCCTTTCCTTATATGCTTTGGCCGCCAGTCCCCTAATCATCTTTGTTGCTCTTCTCTGTACTCTTTCTAAAGTCTCAACATCTTTTTTACATCGTGGTGACCAAAACTGGATGCAGTATTCCAAGTGTGGCCTTACCAAGGCTTTGTAAAGTGGTATTAATACTTCATGTGATCTTGATTCTATCCCTCTGTTAATGCAGCCCAGCACTGTGTTGGCCTTTTTGGCAGCTGCAGCACACTGCTGGCTCATATTTAAGTGATTGTCCACTAGGACTCCAAAGTCCCTCTCACAGTTACTACTATTGAGCAAGGTACCCCCTATACTATACCTGTACATTTGGGTTTTTTTGCCTAAATGTAGAACCTTACTTTTTTTTTGATGCTGCTTTTCATTTAAGCAACCAGTATCTAGCTGCCAATCCATCAAATAATAATAATTCCTGCGTGAGCAGGGGGTTAGACTCGATAGGAGGAGAGGGCGCTTCCCACACTTCATAATAAGAAATGTGAGTCTGAAAGAATCATTGTTGTTAAGTGAATCAATTGACAATTGCAAAATCCCCCAGTCTCTACTCTTAATACTTTTTCTCCTGTTTTTGATTGGCTCCCCTTCTCCTTCCTCTCACTGTGTCTCACTGAAGGCACAGAAGTAGACAGCAGAGTCCTCCAGCTGGATGGCTTGTTTCTGCATGTTGAAAGTCCCTTTTTTACGGGTTTTATTGTGAGTAGCCTGAAAACCTGGAGCCTTGTTGTCAATTTCATCCAACAAGATCTCTAGAGGCTGACCAGGATGCTGAATGTACCAGGATGGGTAATTATTGGCACTATACTCTGCTTCATAGGAACAACTGAGAGAAAGATATTGTCCTTCAGGAACGGTCACAATGCCAGATGTTTGGTTGACCGATTGACCTGTGCTTCCTCCTAAACAGAAGATAATAGAGAAGGTATAAAGTTAGCTGGAGAGGTGGACAAGTAGATCCTTCTCCTTGTTTTCAGAAACAACCTTGGTGCTGCTTTGAGCTACTTTCTTGTGTCTGCCCATATCAGTGCTAATTATGAGGGCTAACCTGGAAAAATTCCTTCCCAGTTTTATATTCTTTCCATTGTGTACACCACCAAGCACACTGAACACACAACACACACACACACACACATGCACCTTCTATTCCAGCTGATTACATCCATTGTTGTTCTCGCAGATAATTCAATACCAATGTCCCAATCATCTTCCAGGAGATCCTATTCTACCAGATTTCAAGGAACCTAAACAGCTCAAGTTATGGCCAGCCAAAACCTATAATCAAAAATGGTGAAGAATAAAATGGACTTAAAAGTGAGAGGATGATGATGAAGATGATGAAAAGAGGCCACAGCAACATATTTCCAGATAAGGAAGGGGTTATTACCGCCCCTTTGGAGGACTTCAGAGCTGGTGTGGTCACCTTCAGATCTTCCCTGCCAACTCTGCTGTGAGAAGTTACAGAACTCTTTTCCTTCACAAATAAGTTAACTTAGGGCATCTAAATTTGATGGTAAAAGGAAGACAAACCACAGGGTATGGTTCAAAGAGCATATTTTCTACAGCAGCTGAGGCTCATGTTGATTCAAGATTACCACCTTATGTTATAAAGTAGGTGTAGGAGGACAGCTGAGTTCAAGGAAGGATCCCAGTGTTAAAGGGTCTTGGGAAAGGACCCTCTCTAGTTACTTGGCCTGTAACATCAATGGGGGAGAAATAATAATAATAATAATAATAATAATAATAATAATAATAATAATAATAATAATAATAATAATAATAATAATAATAATAATAATAATAATAATAATAANGGTCATCTAGTCCAACCCCCTGCTCAGGCAGGAAACCCTATACCATTTCAGACAAATGGCTGTCCAGTCTCTTCTTAAAAACTTCCAGTGTTGGAGCATTCACCACTTCTGGAGGCAGGTTGTTCCACTGGTTAATTGTTCTAACTGTCAGGAAGTTTCTCCTTAGTTCTAAGTTGCTTCTCTCCTTGATCAGTTTCCATCTGTTGCTTCTTGTCCTGCCTTCAGGCGCCTTGGAGAATAGCTTAACTCCCTCTTCTTTGTGGCATCCCCTGAGATATTGGAACACTGCTATCATGTCCCCCCTCGTCCTTCTCTTCATTAAACTAGACATACCCAATTCCAGCAACCGTTCCTTATATGCTTTAGCCTCCAGTCCCCTAATCATCTTTGTTGCTCTTCTCTGTACTCTTTCTAGAGTCTCAACATCTTTTTTACATCGCAGTGACCAAAACTGGGTGCAGTATTCCAAGTGTGGCCTTACCAAGGCCTTGTAAAGTGATATTAACATTTCACGTGATCTTGTTCATTTAGAGTTGTAGGATTCCATTAATGTAGCCTTATAATAAAGTAGAATTAGTTCACCTGGGCGTACATCTTGTCTAGACTACATTGCCAGAGAGTAGACAAAAGAGATAGAAATAATAAGAGAAGACCTCCCCAAGAACTCTGCTGCTGAAAAAAGGGGGAGAGTCTCACATTCCTTTTTAATCTGATCCTGCTCCTTTACCTCTAAGAAATGGCTCTTTAGCAGACAATCCTGGATAAGAGATAATGCAGAAAGAATGAAGTTAACTGCAGAGGTGGACACATATGTCCTTTTCACTCTTTTCGGAAACAATCTTGCTGTTGCTTGGATCTGCTTTCTTGCTGTGTTGAAACACCTGAGAAATGTGAGTTTTATATGAAGAACGGTTGCAGAATTTGGGAATGGCCAGTCTAGCGAAAAGAAGGACTGTGGGGGGGGGGACATGTTAGCAAGTATTCCGGTAATTGAGAGGCTGCCACAAGGAGGATGGGGTCAATTTATTTTCCAAAGCCCCAGAAGGCAAGGATGGAAACTAATCAAGGAGAAAAGCAACCTGGAATTAAGGAGAAACTTCCTGACAGTGAGGACAATTAACTAGTGGAACAGAAGTTGCCTTCAGAAGTTGTGGGTGCTTCATCACTGGAGGTTTTTAAGAAAAGGCTGGGCAGCCACTTGTCTGAAATGATATAGGGTGTCCTGCTTGAGCAGGGGGCTGGACTAGAAGACCTCTAAGGTCCCTTCCAGCTCTATTATTATTATTATTATTATTATTATTATTATTATTATTATTATTATTATTATTATTATTATTATTATTATTATTATTATTATTACTAGGGAGACAGGTGTTTCCATAGGTTAGGTAACATTTCCTCTTATTCCATCCCACACAGGAATGACGTCACAGGCAAACCAAATTGCAGAACATCAGGAAGAAAAAAGAAAGAAAGAAAATGAGGATTATAGCAACTTCAATTCAATTGGCAGCAACACACTACTTCTCTGACCCAGCTGGTACGGTGGACAAGGAGATCAGGAGCTATTTTCAGTCTTGAGAAGAATTTTGACTGGCAAGTGTCACAAATGCAAACTTCCCCTGTCTCTGCACTAATTTTTTTTTTTTCTCCTGTTTTTGATGGACTCCTCTTCTGCTTCATCTCATTGTGTCTCTCTGAAGGCACAGAAGTAGACAGCAGAGTCCTTCAGCTGACTGGCATCTTTCTCTGAATTGAAAGTCCCACTTTTCTTTCCTTCATCATGAGTAGCATGGAAGCCTTGGGCATCATTTTCATACTCTGTCAACAAGAGCTTCAGAGGCTGACCAGGTTGTTGAATGTACCAGTATGTGGAAGATGAGCTACTAATTTGTGCTTCATAGGAACAATTGAGAAAGACAGATTCTCCTGCTATCACTGTCACAATACCAGTTGTTTGCTTCACAGACTGTCCTGTGCTTCCTCCTGGACAGAAGATAAATGCAGAAGGCATGAGGTTAGCTGCAGAGGTGCACACGTTGGTCTTTTTCTCTCTCTTCAGAAAAAAATCTTGCTGCTGGTTGGACCTACTTTCATGCTGTATTGAAACATTGATGCTAATTTTCAGGGTTGCTATGAACAAATTCCTTCCTTGTTTTATATTCTTTCATTCATACCCACCACCAAGCATACTGAAGACACACAAACCACCATCCGCCTTCATTCCTATTCAATACTTCTGTCCATGTTTTTGCAATATTTCTGTCCATGTTCTTGCAATCCTTTGCAGATAGTCAATTTTCCAGACATTCTACCTTATTTCAAGGAACCTGAACAACTGAATAAATTGCCTAGCCAAAACCTATAGCTCAACTTTGTGAGAAAATAAATACTTACTTAAAAGTGAGATGAGGATGATAAAAAGCCACATGATTCCAGATGAAGAATGGAGTTAGTAACCAAAAATATATTTGGAGGATTTCAGAGCTGGTCACCTTCAGAATTTCCTGGCCAACTTTGCTTTGGAACAGACATAGAAATTTCACTTCAGAAAAAAGTGGGCTTCTCATATGTTAATTTGGTGGCAAAAAAAAGACAAACCACAGGATATGGTTCACAGAGCATATGTGCTACACAGGATATCATATGTGTCACTTGGTAAGACTCATGCTGTCGCAAGATTGCCACCATGTGTTTTAAAGGAGCGGTAAGAAAGCAGTTTGGTTGAAGGAAGGATCCCAGGGTTGAAAGTGATTTCTGAAAGAAAAATATATTATTGTCCAGGTGAATGGAGAGTAAACTGGGAGGATGAATAGATGTGAGAGGGAGAATAATATGAAACATGAAACTGAAAGGGTCACTGTTGTTAGGTGGATCAATTGACAATTGCAATATCCCCCTGACTCTGCTCTTAATACTTTTTCTCCTGTTTTTGATTGGTTCCTTTTCTGCTTCCTCTTACTGTGTCTCTGTGAAGGCACAGAAGTAGACTGCAGAGTCCTTCAACTGGATGGCTTGTTTCTGCATGTTGAAAGTCCCTTTATTCTTGTTTTCATAGTGACTAGCTTGGAAATCTTGGCTCTTGTTGTCAAATTTGGTCAACAAGATCTCCAGAGGCTGACCAGGATGCTGAATGTACCAGAATGGGTAATTAATGCCACTATACTGTGCTTCGTAGGAACATCTGAGAGAAAGAGATTGTCCTTCAGGAACGGTCACAATGTCAGATGTTTGGTCCACTGACTGTCCTGTGCTTCGTCCTGGAAAGAAAATAAATGTAAAAGGCATGAGGTGAGTTGGAGAGATGGACATGTAGATTCTTCTCTTTCTTTTCAGAAACAACCTTGGTGCTGTTTTGACTCCTTTGTTGGTGTCCGCAAATATCTATGCCTGTCTGGAAACTAAAACATGTGAAGAATGGCTGCAGGACTTGGGTTTGGCTAAACTAAAGAAAAGAAGAAATAGGGCTGACATGATAGCAGTATTCCAGTATTTGAGGGGCTGCCACAAAGAAGAGGGGGGGTCACATTATTTTCCAAAGCACCAGAGGGCAGGACAAGAAACAATGTTTGGAAACTGATTAAAGAGAGAAAAAACCTGGAATTAAAGAGAAACTTCCTAACAGGGAGGACAATTAACCAGTGGAACAGCCTGCCTTCAGAAATCATGGGTGCTCCATCACTGGAGGCTTTTAAGAAGAGACTGGACAGTCACTTGTCTGGGATGGTTTAGGTTCTCCTGCTTGAGCAGGGGGGCTGAATTAGAAGACCTCCAAGGTCCCTTCCAACTCTGTTATTCTATTCTATTCTATTCTGTTCCGTTCCGTTCCATCCCGTTCCGTCCCGTTCCGTTCCGTTCCGTCCCGTCCCATTCTGTTCCATTCCATTCCATTCCATTCTATTCTATTCTATTCTATTCTATTCTATTCTATTCTATTCTATTCTATTCTATTCTTAGGGATGCCTTGGAGAAATCCCATCCTACCTAATGTGGCAGAAAGTGCATTGGTTCAAGGCATTACCCAGCTGTCTTCTTCAGTGCTACTATCAAAAATTTCTCAATTCTAAATGCTTTCAAAACAGAAATGGGGAAGTTTATTTATTGAATGGGACAAATATTCGAAGGACAAATGGAACTTGACATGCACACTCGCCTGCTGCTCAGGCAAGCACTTGACGTGTGCGCTCATCTGCCACTTCTGCAGGCTGGTTGGGGACCCCTAGCCTATGGAACAGTCAGATACCAAACAGCATAACCTCTAGCTGAATAGTAGCTAGGGCACGAGGCTTAGAAGAGACACTCCCCAATTTCTTGGGCTTTGAAAGGAGATGGTGGATGATTTGTACTTTCAAACTTGCAAGAGTCTCTTAGTGTAGTTTTACAATAAAGTAAAATTAGTTCATCTGGTTATGTTTCCTGCCCTGCTAACTTAATGAGGCTGATGCTGTATTGGTTCAAGGTACTACCCAAGTGCCTTCTTTAGTGTTACTATCAAGGATTCCTCATTTCTAAATGCTTTCAAAACAGAATTCATTGAATGGGACAAATGTACAAAGGAGCTCGAATCCATGTGCAGTATTCAGAACTACAATGAAATGTAGTTTGAAATCTTTCCCCAACAAAAATACACACCCTTCATTGATGCTGAATACTTCTGTTCTTCTTGTAATTCCTTGCAGACAATCTACTGCCAATTTTCCAGACATTTTCTAGGGTTCCTACTCCACCTGATTTCAAAGAATTCAAGATATGCCCAGCCAAAACATATAGTCTAACATTGTGAGGAAATAAATACTTACTTAAAACTGAGATGATGAGGAATAGGACAGACCACAACCTCATTTTTCCAGATGAATAATGAGAATAGTAAACTACCACCCCCAAATATATATCTTTGGGGGATTTCAAAGCTGGTGTAATCACCTTCAGAGGTTCCCTGCCAACTTTGCTATGAAAGAAACTTAACTATACAGCTTGTTCCCTTCACAAAGAAATGAGCTTCTAATACGTAAATTTGGTGGTAAAAGGAAGGCAAACCAAATAACCAAAGTTATCTCAAGGTTGCCACCATGTGTTTTAAAGTAGGTGTAAGAAAGCAGTTTGGTTGAAGGAGGGATCCCAGGGTTGAAGGTGATTTCTGAAAGAAACAGGCATTGTTGGCCTCGTGAAAGGAGAAGGAACTTGGAGGATAAATAAGAGAGACAGAGACAGAGAGAGAGAGAGAGATGTTCTTCATATGAAATGTGAGTTGGAGTCATTTTAGAGTCTGAAAGGGTTCTTCTTCTTGTTGTTGTGCCATATCCGTTATCGGATGTTGGTGATCATGTTGGCGATCCTGTTTTTATCAGCAGCCACACAAAAAAGTGCAGCTGAGCTTTGTCCAAACCAGTTCCTTAGATTTTGAAACCACAATGTTCTTCTTCTGCCTGGACCTCATTTGCCTTCAATCTTTCCCTGGAGGATTAAATGGAGTATGCCGTATTTTTCTGGGTGTTGCATCACATGTCCGAAATATTCTAATTTTCATTTTTTAAATTGTTTTGATGATTTCCCTTGGCTTTCCCAGGCAGCTTATCACCTCCTCATTTCTGATCTTGTCAACCTGAAAGGGTTAGAAATGGAAAAATGAATCCCAATGTTGAATGGAAAATTCACAATGCTAGAATCTCAATGACGTGGTTGCATTCTCTGCATGACTATGGAGATAAGTGGCTCCAAATAGTTAGATAACATTTTCTATTTTCCCAGGTGGTCCTTCTTCTTGGGAATCAGATACTGAGTGACCACAAATATCCCAATTTCCTACCTCTCCGTTCCATTGCAAGGTTGATCTGGATTACGTCCAGCTATGTTCATGAACCTTAATCTCAAAGGAACTATTGGAATTTTCATTTCTGAGAACACCTTCATACTGCTTTTCTCCCCCTTTGTGACTTTTCTGTTGGCTTCTTGTTAACTTTGTCACACAGTGTCTCACTGGAGGCACAGAAGTAGACAGCAGAGTCCTCCAGTTGGCAGGCATGTATCTGCAAATTGAAAGTCCCCTTTTTGTGTTCATGGGAAACGTGAGTAGCTTGGAATCCTTGAGGGTTTTTCAAGTAAGATGCCAAAAGGAATTGCAGAGGCTGACCAGGATTTTGAATGTACCAGAAAAGGTAATTTGTCACAGGAAACTCTTTTTCATAGAAACAATTGAGAGAGACCAGTTGTCCTCCAGTAACAGTCACAATGCCAGATGTTTGCTTCACCGACTGTCCTGTGCTTCCTCCTGGACAGAAAGTAATGCAGAAAGCATGAAGTGAATTGGAGAGGTGAACAAGTAGGTCCTTCATCCTCTTTTCAGAAACAACTTTGGTGCCTTTGAGCTAGCAGTGTGCTAGTGTAATTAATACAATCCTGGGTTGCATAAACAGAGGCATAGAATCAAGATCACCCAAAGTATTAGTACCGCTTTATAAAACCCTAGTGAGACCACACCTAGAATACTGCAACCAATTTTGGTCACCATACTACAAAAAAGATGTTGAGATGTTGGAAAAAGTTCAGAGTACAGCAACTAAGATGATCAAAGGCCTGGAGACTAAGACATATGAAGAACGGCTGCACAACTTGGGTTTGGCTAGTCTAGGGGTAGGCAACCTCAGCTCTTTTATGACTCATGGACTTCAACTCCCAGAATTCCTGAGTTAGCTATGCTGACTCAGGAATTCTGGGAGTTGAAGTCCATGAGTCATAAAAGAGCCGAGGTTGCCTACCCTTGGGCTAGTCTAAAGAAAAGAAGAAATACAGTAGGAGTAGCAGTATTCCAGTATTTGAGGGGCTGTCACAAAGAAGAGGATGTCAAACTAGTCTCCAAAGCGCCAGAAGGAAGGTCGAGAAACAATGTTTGGAAACTGATCAAAGAGTGAAGCAACCTGGAATTAAGGACAAACTTCCTGACAGTGAGGACAATCAACCAGTGGAACAGCTTACCCCCAGAAATCGTGGGTGCTCCATCACTGGAGATTTTTAAGAAAAGACTAGACATTCACCTGTCTGAGACAGTATAGGTTCTCCTGCTTGAGCAGGGGGCTGGACTAGAAGACCTCCAAGGTCCCTTCCAGCTTCTATTCTATTCTATTCTATTCTATTCTATTCTATTCTATTCTATTCTATTCTATTCTATTCTACTTTCTTGCTGTCTGCAAATATCTATGCTGACTATTAAGGCTGTCCTGGACAAATTCCTTCCCAGAAATTCTTTCCATTATGGCCACCACCACACATACACAAAACACACACCCCTTTCATTTCAGCTGAATACTATTGTTCAGTTCTTGTAATTCCTTGCAGATAAGTTACTGTCAATTTCCAAGAAATCTTCCAGAGGATCTACTAAACAACTGACGTTATTCCCAGCCAAATACTATGATTTAATATTGGGAGGAAATAAATACTTAATAAGTATGGAAAGGAATCACTTACTTAAGAGTGAAATGAGGACCGCAACGCATACGCAGATGAGGGCCATGGATCAAGGAGAGGAGATCCACACACCCAAAAATAGATCTGAAGGATCAGTGCAGTCCTGATCGACTATTCTGGTGGATGAGAAAGATAAATGGCAACCTGTGGATTTCTTCTCAAGGTAAATAAGTTCTGTTTTTAAAAGAGCTTTAGGTACAAGTACTGTAAATCGATTGATGTGGTTGGTT